ATGAGTAGCTGTTATGAGTAGATATTCTTCGAGACACTTCTATACAGCTTAAAGTAACATTTAAAGGCTTAACTAGGGTAATTAGGTTAACTAGGCAGGTTATGGTAATTAGGCTATTTATTGTATAATGATGGTTTGTTCTGTAGACAGTCTAAAAAACAATTAGCTTAAGAGGCTAATAAATTTGACCTTAAAATGGTTCATTAAAAATAACTGCTTTTAATCTAGCCAAAATAAAACAAATAAGATTTTGTTTAGAGGAAAAAATATTATCAGACAAACTATCAACATTTCTTTGCTCTGTTAAACATCATTTAGGAAATATTTTGAAAAGAAAAAAACAAAAGGGGGCTTATAACTGTTTATATATTTACAGTAATTTTTAAAATGTTTTTAAGGAAAATTATTCAGTTCATCAAGGCTATATTTATAAATGTGAAAAATTTTTAATTGTTAAATATTTATCAAAATTTTAAATACCTGCTTTGTTATTGTATGTAGTTTCAAATAAAATCATTACTCCAGACATTATTGATTTTATTACTATTACCATTTATAAATATAATAATAATTAATATTAGGGATCATGTGACTGGAGTAATGAAGCTGAAATTTCATCTTTAAAATCACTGGAATAAATGAATGAATTATATGATAAACTACTTTTGAACAGTTATTTTATAGTGCAACATTTCACAATTTGTATTTATGATGAAATAATTGCAGCCTTGGTGAGCAGAAGAAGCTTATTTTAACATATTTTATCATACTGACCCCAAACTTTTGACCAGTTGTGTATAGAATTTTTTATAAGTGAAAATGTGCACTTTAATTTTAACAACCCACAGACATCGTCACCAAATACAAATCAGAGAGGTCAGACTTTCTCATATAGAGCCTCATTTCAATTGTCAGGTTTTGTAGATATCTATCTATTGAATTAATCAATGTATTAAAGAAACGTTGACTATAATTCTGTATTTTAGGCTTAAATTATAGAGAGACATAGCAGATGAACCGAGACTGCATCAAATCGCGAAACAGATCAATGTTGATTTTCTTTCGAGCTGTCAGTTTAGAAATGAACAAAACAACTGGCCTAACACAACATATTGTAAGATTAAAACATGGAAAAAATGATCAGATATTAACTTTGGTCAATTTTCCTAATGGATAAACTGAGATAAGGCTGGATAAACAGCTCTCGGTAATATTTCAGCATGCTTTCACTTTCGCATTTACCGGTAAGAATGACATCTCGCCCTGCTCATCATTCTCTCTTCATATAGCCGTATAAATGGCTATTACACAATCATAATACACTGTGATATAGCCTGGGTCGTTAGTTTGTTGCATTGTTTTGTTTTCACGCTACAATCGATCCGCTCAATAGGACAGAGACAGTCTCATTCAGGCAATCTCGAACTGATTGATTTGGCGCGGATGCGAGCGCAACTGCTGGATATATGCCAAAAAAAAAACGCGCTAATGGGAGAAACGAGACAGATTCCGAAACAAATGTCTATGTGTGAAAGCACCGTAAGATTGTATTTGCACACAAGTGACAGACAGTCGCAGCTCTAGCTCCATCTGGCAAGCAAAAAGGCAGCACTGGCCCGATCGGGCCAGTAACATTCTGTACACTGGCCCGAGTGTCTCGCACGCTGGCCCCGGGCCATCGGGCAGTCCTTATTGTCGAGCCCTGATTATTACTATTATCATCATCATAATATTTACATCTTGCAAGAGATAAAAGCTGCCTGCATGTAAAAACAATACATACAAAAATATAACAAAAATATATAAAAAATGACTTAAAAATTGCATACTGGCCCACATTTTAAAAAATGGTTCAGCCCTTCTGGCATTTGCCAGAATTGCCAGATGGCCAGTCCGCCCCTGCTTGGGTTAATCAAGGAATGGTTTTGGTGCCTCTCAATGGTGTGACACACTGTTTAGTGTTGGCTTGTCACTGGGTTACCCCCATCCAATGGCAACACAGTAGTCCTCATTGTGGTGGGCAGATTCTTGAAGGCAGCTCACTTTATTCCCCTCCCCAAATTATCTTTTATCGACACAGACAGTAGCCATTGTCTTGGACCACATCTTTCGTATTTATGGCCTCCTAGTTGACATGGTTTTAGGCAGGGGTCCCCAGTTTGTGTACAGGTTTTGGGCAGAATTCCGCCGACAGCTGGGGGCGACTGCTAGCCTTTCTCATGAGCACCACCCACAGACCAATGGCCAGGCTGAGCAAGCTAATCTGCGACTGTAGAGGGTCCTGCGTTGCGTCGCATCCGGGGAACCAACATCTTGGAGTTCCAGATTAACCATGGTCAAATATGCATATAACTCCCTTTTTCATCTTGTCTATGGGCTTGTCTCTCTTTCAGTGCTGCTCAGGCTTCCAGCACCCTCTGTAGACTGATTTCACGAGGTCGCCATTTTAAAAGCGAAATCGAGGCCATGTTGGGAAGAAACTCGGAAGTATCGCCTGGAGTCACACATGAACATTGTGTACCTGGCTGTATATCTTAATCACAGTACTTTCTGGTGGGCACCAGTGAACACTATGACAAATCAGCGCTGTTTAAGAACACTCTCAATGGCACCTAAATGTTAGCAGGAAATGGAGGTTTTTAAAACTTTATTATCAGGACAACACTATTACAGACAACACGAGGGTGTGCCACAGAGGACTGTAGGTGTTTTTATCGCTTACTCAGTTACATAGGCTGAAGCAAGGAATCATCCCCACAGTTTACCTGGTGCCATGAACTGAATCCTAGGGGGACACTTAAGCGTATAACTCTTAAAGAGATTGTATTTTTATTTGATGCCTAATATGCTTTTAATTGTTTAAATTAAACTGAACTAAATGATATTAAAGTGATGTTTACACCATTTGCATTTTGAAATTACAGCAACAGCTGGAGGTTTGTAGTCCACAGCATGTTGTTTCAATGTTTACAGTGCTGATCCTATACGTCCATGTTTTTCCCACAGCCTGGCTTTCGTTCTTTAAAATGGAGGCCACATGAAATAACCGCATTCTCTTCCCAAGAACCAGATGCCATTGTTCCCTCCTGCATTTGTTTATTCAGAGATGCCTCTAGACAAGGAGGATCACCAGAAAAGTACTGGCAATAGTAATAAAGCGTCTGCCTCCTCTAAACATGTGTGGTCAGAAAGTATAGTTGTCTTTCAAAGACTTTCCTCTCAGACTTCCCTGACATAAATTGGGACCCAAATTCATTAGACCATTTCCCATTATCAAGGTGCTCAGTCCAATGTTGGTTCAACTCAAATTAAGCTCTAAGTTCAAAAAACTTGATTTTCAGGTGTCTAAGATCAAAGACATTCTCCTCTCCCCCCCTGCACGCCTTAACCTCTGCTCCTCTGCCTCCCAGACTGGTTAAGGATGCACTCACATACACAGTGCACTATGGCTGTGAAGTAGAGAGCTTATCAGTATCAGGTAGACTGGAAGGGTTATGGTCCAGAGAAAAGATGTTGGATTCCGGCTCTAAATATTCTGGACTGCTCTTTCATTGATCAGTTTCATCAGGTCCACAGTGAGTCTTAAGGGAATGCCAGGGTGTGTTCTTGAGGGAGGGGTACTGTCACCGTACCTCATGCTTTTGCTTTCTCCTCCTGTTCTGGTTTACAGATTATCTTGTAATCTGCTTTTATTTGCAGTCACAGGACCTCTCGTTTACCTTTTTTTCCTGTTTATACCACATCATTTCACTTCATGTTTGTCAGTATGTTATTGATTGTTTGTGTGCATATTATTTTGTTACTCACCCTTTATTTGTGTCCAGGAATGCTAGTGAGTGAGTGCCTGGTTGTTTTTTTCTCACGGCACTTCCTCAATGCTCACCAAACCGGGTGTTTACTTCGATTTTTGCTTTTTCCGGGACTCACTCAATTGTTTTTTTGCATTTGAGTTCACTCTTTTTTTCTTTTTTGACTTGTGACACAAATATTTTTTTTCATTTGTGTTTAAAGGTCTTTAGATTTCAGCATGATGTCTAGCTTTTGAGGCTCTTTTGGTCTACTTCACTTTGTCAGACAGGTCCTATTTAGGTGACTTCTTAATTTAGGTAGTAATCAGGTCTGGGTGTGGTTAGGGAAGCTGGTGTGATATATTAAAGTTGTTATAATGGAAAAAAAACACCAGGCTGTTTAGTTCAGTAGTTTGTCTTCCTTTTAAGAATAAAAACCTTTATTTAACTGCACAATGTGTTTAATTGTGTTATCTTTGACTAATATTTACATTTGTTTGATGAGCTGAAACAGTGCTGTTAAGTGTCAGATTTCTGCATTGCATTTGTTACACACAGATTACTTGCCTCTAAAACATTTGTCATGTAAAGGTGCTGATTTAAAGCCTAATTCAGATATTATGCAGATATGTCTCATGTCTGTGAGGCAGGTATTCACTATTCAAGAGATATTCAAGAGATTCAGCTGTTTTTTCTGACAGGTTTACCAGTCAGGCACAGAATGAAAAAGCATTCCCTATCTGCTTTACAAGTTTTACTATACAAATAAAAACTGGCCAGTTACAGCTTTCAAATTTATGTCTCATCAATATGACCAAAAATGTTGTGGCATTAATCATATAAGAATCTGCTTCAATGTGTATGTGTGTAATGGACCCCAGGAGGTTGATAAGACAAGATCAATCTAAATTTGGTCTGCTATGTTTTTACATTTAATGTGCATTAAAATTAAGGTTTGTGTAGCCAATGTTTTTAGTGCCTTTTCACTTCAGCTTTTGATGAGTTTTAGTGATTTACTAAAAACTGAACTTTTTTTTTATTTCAGACACAATTAAAGACTATGAGGAGAGTAAAGAGGAGGAACATCATGTTAATATAGAGGACAAAACTCATTTAGAGACTGATGGTATTTTAAAAGTGAGAGACAAGAGTTGTTTTACCTGCACTCATTGTGGAAAGAGTTTGGCAAGCAAGAGCAAACTTAAGATTCACATGATGATCCACACTGAAGAGAAACCATTCACATGCACTCAGTGTGGGAAGAGTTTCAGCCAATCATCATACCTTCATAAACACATGAGGATCCACACTGGAGAGAAACCATTCACATGCACCCAGTGTGGGAAGAGTTTCAGCCAATCATCATCCCTTAAACTACACATTAGGGTCCACACTGGAGAGAAACCATTCACATGCACTCTGTGTGGTAAGAGTTTCAGCCAATCATCATCCCTTAATCTACACATGATGATTCACACCGGAGAGAAACCATTCACATGCCCTCAGTGTGGGAAGAGTTTCAGCAAATCATCACACCTTAATCAACACATGAGGATCCACACTGGAGAGAAACCATTCACATGCCCTCAGTGTGGGAAGAGTTTCAGCAAATCATCGCACCTCAATCAACACATGAAGATCCACACTGGAGAGAAACCATTCTCATGCCCTCAGTGTGGGAAGTGTTTCGTCCACTCATCACACCTTAATCAACACATGAGGATCCACACTGGAGAAAAACCATTCACATGCAACCAGTGTGTGAAGAGTTTCAGCTCATCATCAACGCTTAATAGACACATGAAGGTCCACACCAGAGAAAAACCATTCACATGCAACCAGTGTGGGAAGAGTTTTAGCCAATCATCAACACTTAATAAACACATGAAGATCCACACTGGTGTGAGAGAGTATATGTGCTTGGTTTGTGAGAAGACTTTTATTACAGCTCCAGAGTTGAAACGGCACCAGAGGATTCACACTAGAGTAAAACCGTACAAATGTTCACAATGCAGTAAGAGTTTTACTCACTCAAGAACGCTGAAAACACATGAGAGGATTCACACTGGAGATAAACCGACATGATCAGTGTGTACCAGAGGTGTGGACTCGAGTCATGTGACTTGGACTCGAGTCAGACTCGAGTCATGAATTTGATGACTTTAGACTTGACTTGACAAAATATAAAAAGACTTGCAACTCGACTTGGACTTGAACATAAATGACTTGGACTTTGACTAGGACTTGCCCCTATTGACTTGTAAAGACTTGCTGCTTCCCATGAAAAGCCCAACGATAAAAAAGTATGTTGACATGGACCGCTCTCTCTCTCTCTCCGTTTATGTGTGCGTGTGTGTGACAGCATGCGCGCGCGTGTGTGTGACAGCATGCGCGCGCGTGTGTGTGAGCATGCGCGCTTTCGGCATGACGTCCAATCGAAGCACGGTAGATTGTTTTGATTCGACAGTATCCAACGTGACTACTATGAGGCGCCGGAGTGGACAAAAGTCAAGCGAACGCAGAGAGAATTTGAATTTGAACTTGAGATCGAGCCAATACTCGCGTGCCAATACTCGCTCTCTCTCTCTCTCTCTCTCTCTCACATACAACATACACCTCTCTCTCTCTCTCTCTCTCTCTCTCTCTCGTGCATTCAGTCTCTTTGCGTTCGCTTGACTTTTGTTTACGATGGCGTCTCATACCTTTAGTGCTTTTGCTCTCACGGGATCCTCCTTTTAAACTGACCCTTCGCTAAGCCACGCCCAAAAACCGCCACCCACCAATCGCGGCTTACCAATCGTAGCTACGGGCAGAGGCTCTGTCAAGCTTTCGAGCGAGGGAAACAAGCCAAATCGTTGCGCAATTGGATTGTGAAAATCTGACACCCGCTATCCTAAAAGTTTGGACTGGGTGGTGGGATTTTTTCCTTTTTCAAAACCAAAGCCCAAGAGGAGAAATGCCAGCGTGGATCAAGCTGTGTGAGGGCCGGTAAAGGAGTTAAGCTAAGTTGGTTTTGTTTTCTATATTCACATTCAATGATAGGTGGCAATAACTCACACTCCTCTTATCCTAAACAGATCTAAACTGTGTTTCTTTAAAAAAAAAAAAAAAAAAAAAAAAACAAAGCAGGTTATGCTTCCCAGCGGTCTTTTTCTTTTTTTCCACTCGATATTATGAGCCAGGGCTCGACAATAAGGACTGCCCGATGGCCCGGGGCCAGCGTGCGAGACACTCGGGCCAGTGTACAAAATGTTACTGGCTCGATCGGGCCAGCTGCTGCCTTTTTGCCTGCCAGATCGAGCCAGAGCTGCGTGCTGCGACTGTCTGTCAATTGTGTGCAAATACAATCTTACGGTGCTTTCACACATAGACGTTTGTTTCGGAATCTGTCTCGTTTCACCCGTTAGCGCGTTTTTTTAGCATATATCCAGCAGTTGCGCTCGCTTCCGCGCCAAAATCAATCAGTGCAAGATCGCCTGAATGAGACGCGGTCTCTGTCCTATTGAGCGTATCGATTGTAGCGAGAAAAAAACAATGCAACGAACTAACGACCCAGGCTATATCACAGTGTATCATGATCGTGTAATAGCCATATATACGGCTATATGAAGAGGGAATGATGAGCAGGGCGAGATGTCATTCTTACCGGTAAATGCGAAAGTGAAAGCATGCTGAAATATTACCGAGAGCTGTTTATCCAGCCTGATCTCGGTTTATCCGTCAGGAAAATTGACCGAAATTACTTTCTGTTAATTTTTCCATATTTTAATCGTATAATAGGCCTATGTTGTATTAGGCCTGTTGTTTTGTTCATTTCCGCACTGACAGCTCGAAAGAAAGATTTACATTGATCTGATGCAGTCTCGGTTCATCTGCTATGTCTCTCTATAATTTAAGCCTAAAATACAGAATTATAGTCAACGTTTCTTTAATAGATTGATTAATTCAATTGATCGATTTCTACAAAACCTGACAATTGAAATGAGGCTCTGTATATATGAGAAAGTCTGACCTCGATTTGTATTTGGTGACGATGTCTGTGGGTTGTTAAAATTAAAGTGCACATTTTCACTTATAAAATATTCTATACACAATGCACAAAAGTTTGGGGTCAGTGTGATTAAATATGTTAAAACAAGCTTCTTCTGCTCACCAGGGCTGCAATTATTTCATCATAAATACAAATTGTGAAATGTTGCACTATAAAATAACTGTTCAAAAGTAGTTTATCATTTAATTTATTCGTTTATTCCAGTGATTTTAAAGATGAGATTTCAGCTTCATTACTCCAGTCACATGATCCTTCAGAAATCACTAATATTAATTATTATTATATTTATTAATGGTAATAGTTATAAAATCAATAATGTCTGGAGTAATTATTTTATTTGAAACTAAATACAATAACAAAGCAGTTATTTAAAATTTAATAAATATTTAACAATTACACCTTTCTTACATTTATAAATATAGCCTTGATGAACTGAATAGTTTTCCTTAAACATTTTAAAAATTACCATAAATATATATACAGATTTATTAGCCCCCTTTTGTTTTTTGTTTTTAAAATATTTCCTAAATGATGTTTAACAAAGCAAAGAAATGTTGATATTTTGTCTGATAATATTTTTTCCTCTGAACAAAATCTTAGTTGTTTTATTTTGGCTAGAATAAAAACATTTTTTTAACCATTTTAAGGTAAAATTTATTAGCCTCTTAAGCTAATTGTTTTTCAGACTGTCTACAGAACAAACCATCAGTATACAATAACTAGCCTAATTACCCTAACCTGCCTAGTTAACCTAATTACCCTAGTTAAGCCTTTAAATGTCACTTTAAGCTGTATAGAAGTGTCTTGAAGAATATCTAGTAAAATATTATTTACAGTCATCATGACAAAGATAAAATAAATCAGTTATTAGAGATGAGTTATTAAAACTATTATGTTTAGAAATGTGCTGAGAAAATCTGTTCTCTGTTAAATAGAAATTGGGGGAAAAAATAAACAGGGGTGCTAATAATTTAGGGGGACTAATAATTCTGAAATCAACTGTGTGTGTGTGTGTGTGTACACACACACACACACACACGCACATTCAAATAGCGATTAACTTCTTTTTTTTTTTGGTGGGGCCAGTGAAAATTTGGGCTGGGCAAGTAAAAATCAGAACCACTGGCCCGATCGGGCCAGTAGAAAAAATCCTTAGAGTTGAACCCTGAGAGCACTGCTTAGTATAAACCCTCGCTATTGTAACGCATATAAATACATACACTAATATTTGCTGGTAGGAAAAATCTATTTGTTCACTTCTGTTATTTATACTTTAATGTGCATTTCAATTTTTTTCTTCCACTTAACTGTAAATTTGAATAAAAACTGGATAAAGAACACACAAACATGCTGACAGTAATAGGTACTGTACTGTATGGGTCGATGATGCTAATATTCGGCACAAATCCATCAGTTTCTTAGGTTATTAGATTATTTTATAATTTCACCTCTCCTGCATGAACTATGCTGTTGAATGTTCAGCGTATGAGGTTGCTAGGCTAACCTTGCTTCAATTTTGATAAAATTATTTTCTAATCAGTTGCTATTATGTTGTGAATATACCCCTGTAATGTATACTGCAGTCCTCTTTTGTCTGGCTTTCTCAGATATCTCACCTGTTTGCCAAAAATGACTAATTAAATCCTTGGGAATGTCTGACACCAGCGCATACACACTGTAATAGATGTGCCAGGCATGAAAGCTTGACAGGCGTAGCAACAGTAACTAAGGAGGGCGAGGCTTAGCGAAGGGTTATTCCAAGAATGTTGATATGGTTTCTTTCTTGCTTTACTATTTATTAACAATACACCAAAAAACTAAAAGGTTAAGGTAAATTTTTTTAATAAATTCTAGTGTTTTTGAGTATTATACTTGTTGTATACTTGTATTATACTTATGTTTTAGGCTAGTATTATTTACGACTTGTTAATGAATGCTTCATAATACAGTAGTATTAACAATAGTGAACAGATAAAATAATACAAAGTGTAGTTTTACTACAGTAAAGTGTAGTGATTTGTAGTATAAAATACCCTATATTGTAAAATAATACAGCACTGGGTAATTTGTTTATATTACACTTGTGTCACCATAGCAACTATAGTATTACCACAACTGATCAATTGAAGTTCTTTACTGTAGTAGGCTACTGTTCAAAACACAGTACATGCCAATATACGTGTTCAGGGGCCCTGTGGCACAGCTTTCCTCAAAATGAAGAGGATGACATGGAAAATGTCCTCCACAATCTCATCAGTAAAGTGGAAGCCAGCAGACATTAGTTTACTTTATTTTAGCTGCCATGATAAAATGAGATTGATAGTGAGATTTATTTGAAGAGTGAATAATACAGTAGGCTATAATACCTTATCAAGTGTTTCCTTATTTTTATCACAGTTACATTTCTGCTTGCATTAGTTTTTGTTTAAATGCTTTTAAAATAAAATGTATTCTTTACATCCAACATCTATTCCAGGGGTGCCTTATAGTGGTGTAAACCCCTTTACAAGGGGTGTTTCCCCTGTGTACACTCTAGCCACCCCTGTGGCCAACCCGATATGATTTTGCTGTTGACATTATTTATTTAAATCTACTTACATAAATGCAATACAATGCAATATTTCAATAAATAGATAGCAGCCACTAAATTATTGTGGATTGATTGGTGCCACTGACGTAGCTGGCCTCTTCTGGCCCCCCTTAAACAAATTTTCAGGGGGGCACCACTGGTCTATTCTCTGTCTTTAAGTGTTTGAAACTGAAAATATCTCATCATATAAAACAACCAAAAATGTTATGGTTTATTAGATTAAACATTTAATATATAAATCTATTTTAGTATTTTGGTTATTGTTATTAAACAGTGCAGCAATATGAATCAAATCAAAAAGCATGAAAGGAAGAGGGAACACGACACAAATTGTGAGTTTGCATATAATCTCTGAGAGCGCTCAAGAAAATTTGTGTGTGAGCAGTGCATATTTGAGAGCGAGAGAAAATTTGAGAACTCGCAATCAGTTTTGTCCACAAACAGAGGAAATCC